TTTAAGACATCTCCATGGAGATTGGTGAAGGTCAGGCAGTTGTCAAATCTGTCCTCATCTTCTCCCGCAGGACAGAACCAGCAGACTTCCACCACCCCCCCCATCAAGAGACAGTCTTTGGTGCTCCCTCTGCAATGTCGGTGGAAAAACACATCATGTTTACGTTTACTGAGAAGACAGTCATGATCTGAGATTTGGAAGCAGAAAAGCCATTTCCAACTCTTATAAAGGACACAATGGGGGTAGAGACTTGACACATCTGCTTATTCTTGTAATTGACCTTCTCCTCTCTTGGTGATTTCCTTGCTTCCTGCCAGCTCCTTCTAATTTGACTGAGAGACCAGAGAGAGAATTCAATTTGAGAACTGCAGGGATTAGGTATGAGAAGAGGGAGTGCAAACTGGCACATGGAAAGTTTGGACAAAATATACTGTCTGGCAAAATCATCTGCACAGTGAAGAATTGCCATCTGAATATCCATAGGGTGAGTATGGGGCCTAGGATTAGAGGGTGAAGGATTATTGGGAGTATTCCTGTCTTCAAGCAAGTCTTCATATGGATCAAAAGCCTCATTTTCCTTATTTGAGGCACTTGGATAGACTTGATTCTGTGTGTTTTCATCATTTCTGAAGACTAGGTATCTCAGCCCATAATCCAGCACTTGTAGCTTCTGAAGGAAATATAAGGGAAGCTCTCTTTCAGAGCTTGGCTGCGTGTTGTATACAGAAATCTTGTTGATCAGATGGAAGTTTGCTCTGCTCATCTTTTTCGGGTAGTAATGTTCTAGGCCTAGACACTGAAGTAATTTTAGGAAGGCTGTATGTTTTATGACTTCACATTTTTTCTTTCTATTATCATCTGGTTCATGGGATTGCTTCTTTTTGTGGAAAATACTTTGCAAGTTATTTCTTATCTCATCCATTTTCAATGAAGAGATGGTGAATTCATAGTTACCATCAATGAGCAATCTCAAGTCTTTCTCTAGCTTTTCCCAATCCTGATCTGCCCCAGGTTTGGAGAGGACATGGGCAACTTCTTTTGACAAAGATTGGCCCAGGCGATGCCTTATTAATGCCAACCGTTGTGTTTTCTCCTTTGGAGAGACAGCCATGACTCCAATGGTAGCTGTAAGATCTCTGAGCACCATGCATGCCTGAGCTCTGTTTGTGCAAATATTTTTGAGATCCTCGTATTTATCTTGGGCAGTTTGCATTTTATCCAGTAGGAAGTCTAACTCCTCACACCCCAGGAGATACTGAAACCTACTGTTTACCACAAGATATCCTGCACCAGCTGCAATTTATAGTAGCAAGAGCTGTATGTCTTGCTGCTCTGTTTTTCGGATGTAATTAGAAAAGCACCCAAGAGATGAGCTGACCTCATAAGTGGCCTTTCTTTGAGCTTCTTTCACTGTTTCTGCAGACTCAGATTTGGCCATCGCTTCCATGAGGTCATTGTGACTTTTCTTTAAGATTTTAATTAATTCAGAAAATTTGGAGATGTTGATGTGCTCTTCTTCTGACTCTGACTGGAAGACTCACTGCATGATGGAATGAGCCTGGGGGAAGTGATTCACTCTGTAGATGTGAGGATCCGAAAGGCTGTGTAACTGTGGAAAGAAAAGACACTTAGCCTGTATCATGACCTTAGGAAGTGTCAGACACCTCAAAAAAAGGGGGGGATAAGAGTACTAAGCTGCGGGGCTGAGGGGACTTGGGGACTCTGGAGGCAAGTGCATGGAGCAGCCAGGCCTGCCTGGGGGTGGGCCTGGCCATGCCATGTGCCTGCCACCCCAGTGGGGCTGAGGGGACTGGGCACCACCATCTTGTAGTTGTGGGCACCGCCATCTTTCTAACCAGGTGAGGGTCAATTGGCATATTCCCTCTTTATTAGATAAAATTAGTGTTTTTAAAAAAATTAGTGTGTGTGTGTATGCCTCCACACATGCACACATAAGACATTTTTGTGGGTATTCTCAACATGGACTGCTTTTGTCATTTTCAGGATAAGTTATAACTTAATAGCTTGGCTTTTGGAATTTCCTATATAAACAGAATCAATTGAATGGAAAATATTATACAGACATCAATTCTATTCCTCAATTAGTTTCTATCAAACCTGTGTTGAATGGTTCCCTCATTCTTTTTGTCACTTCTTGTGCCATTTTATAATATTTATTTACTCTCCTGTTCTTCAAAATACAGTTCTTGATATCAGCATTATGGTGCATAAGATGTTTCTCTTTTTCGTCTCCCATTTTATAACAATTAACTAGAGGCCCAGTGCACATAATTTGTGTGCTGGATGGGTGGTCACTCAGCATGGCCTGTGCCCTCTCGCAGTCTGGGACCCCTCGGGAGATGTTTGCATGCTGGCTTAGCCTCAATCCCCCCCCCCAAGCCAGCAATCGAACATCCTTCTTGCAATCCAGAATCCCTTGCTCCTTACAGCCCACCTGTTTGCTCCTTATCACTTGGCTCACTGCTCCTTAGTGGAAGGCTCCTTACCACTCGACTCACTGCTCCTTAGCACTGCCATGGAGGCGGGAGAGCCTCCTGCCACCGCAGCTGCTCTTGTCAGCCATGAGCCTAACTTCTGGCTGAGCAGCCACTCTTCCTGTGGGAGCACACTGACGGGGGCAGTTCCTGCATTGAGCATTTACCCCCAGTGGTCAGTGTGCATCATAGCAACTGGTCATTCTGGTCATTCCACCGCAAAGGTCACTTAGGATTTTATTACATAGATTAGACAACTATTCACAAACAAATGTGCCCCTCTGTGGGAATTTTGGGCTCATGCCAAAGGATATCAAAGAAATCTTGCCCACTTGTTCATATATTCATAGGCAGAGGACTTCAGTGTGGACTATGGAACCAGCAAAGCCAACAATTCTGCCCCAACTGTCTTAGAATGGTTGGAAAAAAACCTTCTTAATGCTCACCTAGGCAGATGCCCAAAGATGAGAGAGAATTTGCAGAAGTCCAGTCTTTGCAAGGGTAGATTGCAGCATGAGTTTGGGGACATTGCATAAGTTGAACTATCCAATGGTGGCAATTTCTCCAGTGTGGAAAAGGTGAGAGGTTAGTAAGCACCTGCTACCCAAGTTGTGTGGGACATGGCTTGAGAAACACATTTGCTTTCCAGCAGCACTCAGAGTACTGTGTCAGGACCTTCATGTCCAAGGGGAAGGAAAAGATGGGAAAGAAGCAGAAAAGAATATCAAAGGGCACTAAAGGGATAATGTCCCGACCTGCGGGACAACGAGGGAACGAAGAGACACCCTAGGAGAATGAGACAAGCAAGGGACACGAAAGAATGGAGGCAAGACAGAAAATGGGGTCTGAGAGAACCTCACCTGAGGATCTTCCTTCTAGGTCAGGAGCTGCTAACAATGCCCCAAGTGCTAAGCCTGAAACTCCCCTTTACTGAAGCCACCCACTTGTGTTGAGCAGTGAGAGCTAATCTGGAAAATGCGTGGAATCTGAAAAGCACACTAGGATCTCTGTGCAAGTGAGAAACCACACACTTGGACTACAGCACCACCTTCTGGAAAAAGAAGTTTCCAATAGCCAGTTTGGTGTGTTGTAAGAATTACAGATGACTTAAGAGAGAGCCAGAAAAGTGGAGTAGGTGTACCTATAGAAAAGCAGAGAAAACCCAGATATAACAGCTCCAATAAACAGAATAGCCCATCTGAAGGCACTCTAAAGGTTTAAGATGGTTTTTGCTACTTCAAATGAAAAGCAGGAGTTCAAATCAAGGACATGATAAATTAAGGAAACACATCATCACTAAAATACAATAATTTTCTGATAACCTAGCTTAAAGTCATGTAATTCTGTGACTTGGCTGACAAAAAATCAAAATGACTTTTTCAAAAAACTTAAGAAACAACAAGACAATTCAGAAAGAAAATTTAACAAAATCAGGGGAAAATATGTGAACAAAATGAGATATTTAGCAAAGAAATAGATATCATTCTGGAATTGTGTAATTTAAATTTAATGAATGAAATAGTAAAGACTATAGAGAATCTCTGTTTCAGAGTAGAGCAAATAGAAGATAGAATAAGTGAGTTAGAGGGAAGACTTTTTAAATAATCCAATTAGCAAATAATAAAGCAAAAAGAAAGGTATCCAAGATAGTAGCAGAGTATGTGGAAGTTACACTCATGTCTTCCCAGGTTCAAACCAGAATTACCACTAAATTATAAAATAATCAACCTGAATAACTAACTAAAGATGATCTCAACAGAAAACTCATAACTAAGGATATACAGAAGAAGCCACATTGAGACTAGCAGGAAGGATAGGGACACAAAAGGGTCTGGATCCCACCCAAGTGTTGTATTTGAGAATCTGGAGGGATATAGGAGTAAGGTGTAAGGCATCTCAATCTCGCCAGCCTGGGCCTGTTGTGGTGCAGACACTCTCGGAAGGCTCTTGAAGAGGTCTGAGCAGACTCTGGATGGTGGATATGAATGGGGACAAAGTGTGCTGTGTGGCTTTGGAATGAGGGCAATTTTCCCCTTGCACATCCAACTGGCCCCACTGTTTTTGTGCAGAGCCCTCCCTCCACATGGCCAAATCTTGGTCTGTTTTAGCCTGATGATCTCTACTAGCCTCACCTTGAAGACTTCGCAACACCCTGTCCCACCACAAAGGTCCACTGACCCCTGGCCGGTGCCTCAGTCTTGGTGTACCCTGAAACTTGCTTAGTGGTACCACACCCAGCATAGGCACTGAGTTTGAATCTATATCAACATGTTGAATATCACTCGCCCCTATCTGGTACTCACTCAGAACCTACCTAACTCAACTTGTGTATAGGTAGAAGCTCTTTCAGTGACTGAGCCCCTTGGAGGATATCTGACTACCATCCCATGAAAGATGTAGCAGCACTCTATGCAGCAGGCAGCTAGAGAGATGCCCACGATGGGCCGGGCACTGCCCAGCTCAGAGCTCAGCCCTCTGACTGCTCTCTCGCTGCTCTTTAATGCTGCTGTGTAGGCAGGAGAGGCTCCCATCACCACCGCTGCATTTGCCAGGTGTAAGCCTGGCTTCTGGCAGAGTTGCGCTACCACTGTGGGAGTGCACTGACCACCAGGGGACAGCTCCTGTGTTGAACGTCTGCCCCCTGGTGGTCAGTGTGCCTTATAGTGACCGGTCATTTTAGTCGTTCCATTGTGATGGTCTCTTAGGCTTTTATAGATGATAAGAGAAAGACAATTAGTTACCTACTAGGGAGCTCCCATAAGGCTGTCAGAGAATTTCTCAACATAACCATTTCAGGCCAGAGGGGATTGGCTCAAAATATTCAAAGTGAAGAGAAGCAATGATCTACAACTAAGACTACTCTAGTCAGTAAGGTCATAATTTAAAATGAAAGGAGAAATAGTTTCCCAGACATAAAAAAGCTAAAAGAATCTATCAACACTAAACCAGTATTACAAGAAATGTTAAAGGGTCTTCTTTGGGAAGAAAAGATAAAAATTTTTAAAAAACTAACAAGAAAATATGGGGCAAAAATGCTCACTGACAAGGGCAAATAGTAAAAGTAGTAGACCAACCAACTATAAAGCTAGTACAAAAGTTTAAAGAAAAAAATAGGGAGATCATGTGTAATTACAACAATCAATTAAGGAATTACATACACAAAAAAGCAAAAAATACTGACAGAATCTTAAAATTAGAGGGGTGAGTAAAAATTGTAGTTATTTTAGAATATGTTAGAACTTAAGTAACCATCAATTAAAGATAAACTGCTATAAACATATACACAAAGCACATGTTAACCACAAACCAAAAATTCATGAGATATACAAGAAATAATAAAAGTAATCTAAACATATCATTATAAAAAGTCACTGACATACAAGAGGAGAAAGCAAGAGAATAAGGAAAGAACACAGAAAAACTACAGAAACAATCAGAAAACAATAAAATGATGATAACATATCTATCAATAATTATTTTATATGTAAATAGACTAAGTACTCCAATCAAAAGACAAAGGATTCCTTGAATAGATAAAAATACAGGACTCATACATATGCTGCTTATAAGAGACACACTTCAGATTGAGAGACACACAAACTGAAAGTAAAGGTATGGAAAAAGTTATGTTATATAAATGGAAATGAAAAAAAAAAGCTAGGGTAGCAATACCTACATATGACAAAATAGACTTTAAAATAAATGTGTTAATAAGAAACAAGGACATTTTATAATGATAAAGAAATAA